TTGTATTTTTATTTTTTTTTAATCATTTCAGCTTGTTGCCAGCGTTAAGGTTTGAACACTAATGTTCACCTAGTGCTTTAGCGGTGACACTGGATTGGCCAGAGTCTGTGCTGTTGGAACTCAGAGGCGCCTGAGGATATGATGTAGATTTTAGCTAAGTATTCTGAGGAGTTACAATCTTGGGCTTTTGTACTTTGTAAATAATCTGTGACATAGTTTGGAAGATAAAAACAGAAAAAAAGATATATAAAAAAATCTGATGCCCGTCAGTTTTGCGTACATGACAGAAAAATGGTGGACCTTAGCTGTGTCGCAATTCCACATTATATACTAATACTACATTCTTATCTTAATAGTATGCTGCTTTGGCAGTCAGTACACATTTTCCAGTATAAAAACACTACATGCTCAAAACCCAGTTGAAAAAGTATGTACTATGGAAGTGGGACATTGCTCTTGTCTCACCTTGACCTAGGTTGCTTATCTTGTGGTGGTGTTCACACGCATATGCAATTTTTAATTAAGATGGTGCCCATATCTTTGAAATACCAGATATTTATTTTATTATGATCATTGTCATTGTATAAGAAGAACACAGTTAGCTTTTTAGTCAAGCATTTTTAAGGTGTTCGAGAGTGGAGCGATGTAAAAGCCTAGTTTGTTATTGTACAGGTTGAGTAGCTGGTGGTGAGCAGCGGGAGTGCTAGTTAGTTAGTTAGTTAGGTAGTTAATAAGTAAGCAATTGTCGTCGTCTTTGTGTTTGGCCAGAGTCTACCTCAGTGCATATGGAGGAATCAGTCTAAAGAGCCTAAATCATCCCTGTCAGTCACTCAATATCCCATCATTTCAAATAATATCACTTTATCATACATTACCAACACTGCTGATGAATTCCTTTCCCTTGTGGTGTATTTAACTCCCTCTGCCACCTTGTTTTCTCAGTTTTCTCTTCTTCTTATTTCCTGGGGGAAGCTGTCATCGGCCCTTGGCTTGTCACAAATGTCTTGATTTTCGAGCTCATTTCCAGTCATTGGTGTAGAGTTTAGGAACAAGTATTATCCCTGTCCTATATTTTTTACTTTTTACTTACTAAATGTGGAACATCAGGCAGTAAATTGACTTTATGGACAGTATTTTCTTTTTCATTGTTGCTATAACTAGACACAAAAAGCTTCCCCCGGATGCTGGAAGAAGCTGTGTAGCTTTATTGTGTGTATCCCCCTTTTCGATATACACTAATTCTCTGGACTGTATGTAGTAGAGGCTCTACTGGTTTCTGGGGATGTGACATTAGCATGAGTAAACTGACTCCCACTGCATATCTGTGATTATCTACAGCCAAGGCTAACCAAGCTCAGCCCTGGAACCTCATGCTTTTTTAAATCACATCTAGACTAAACCTGTTGTCAGGCAGAAAACCGTACTCTTTTTCTTCAGTCCGTCTCTTTTGTGGTCGAAAACAGTTAGTTGTTCAAATCCCACGTCTCCTCCAGTCGTTGTCAGTTTATTTGTCTGTTTCTCTGTTCTGAATTTTGTTTTTGTATGTATATTTTTTCTACTGTGAATATCAAGAGATAACCTTTATTTTCTGTCAATGCCATGGATTGGGTCTGTTTTGGCTGATCAGGACACTGATGTCTGGGCTGGTTAAAAAGTTTTAAAGAGGAGGACCCCCTTCTCTCTTCTGCAAAGGAAAAAAAAGCTGGATGGGACAATCCTGTGTGCCATAATAACTATTAACAGACATGAAATCTAGATTGTAACTTTTCGTCTCAGGGAGGCGGCCTGATGCTTTGTGGTTGGAAGATAAAGAGGATGAGGAGGAAAAAGAGCTACCTACCTACCTTTTATCTACTCTGACTGAAGCGCAAGTTCTCAGCAGCCTTGCAAAAAGCAAAATGGAGATAATAAGCCCAAGGACACGTTTTCAACAACAAAAACCCAAACAAACATCTCTCTGCCCCTTTGAAGATAATCAGGAATCATCCTTCTCTCTCTCTCTCTCTCTCTCCCTCTCCCTCTCTCTGTCTCTTGACTTGAGGTGGTCTGGACTGCCCTCTAGCGGTTGGGTGGGAGCGTTGCAGGTCAGGGTGCCGAAGCAAACAGGGCCTCGACCCATAGTGCCTTGCTCAGACTAACGGCCCACCTGACCTCTCCCACCCAGTCCCCCCCACAAAATGAAAACACGGGAATTATGTTTTTATGCATTCTGTGTTCTTTAGTTGTAACTGCTGAGAAAAAAAAAATCAAACTGCTTGGTGGGAAAATACTGTAATTTGGATTATATGACAAATGATTTTTACCAAAAAAAAAAAAAAAAACGAAGAAAATGTTGAACTTGTGTCTCTACTCTGCTAGGCTCTGGCTTGCTTAGTGCATGGAAAACGAATGACCTATACCAGCGGGATAGCTTGATAATTTGATGCTCACTGATTTTGCTTCTCATCAGTCTGTTTTGACAGCAACGCCCCAAAGCACATGCAAAAACCCATGATTAGCAACAAGTGATTGCATTACAATGGGGGAGTTTCCATTTGAAATGCATCCAGTTGTTCCGTGATTTTCAAGAAATGAACTGATTAATAAGCTGTTAACTGTATATAGTACAGATCTCTCTCTCCCCCCCAGCCCCCCGAAAAATGAAAGCACTTGACTTTAGGGAAGTTTAGGTTTGTTTTGTTGAACTCTGATGACCTAAAAAGCGGTTGGACAGAGCATGCTAGTAACATAGCGCAGGGTGAGAACAAAGCATTGTATGTATTTTTTGTTTTGTTTTAAAGAAAAGAAAAAAGTATTACATTTTAGAGATGTTGATTTCTATTTTTTTTAGCCAAAGTATGGAGGGCAAATACAATTACTTTTTCTGACTGTAAACTTTTACTACTCTTGTACATTATGAATTTAACATTGTTATCAATGTGTATATAACTTTTTTTCTAAATTTAAAAAGATAGATGTTTTTGTTTTGTTTTTTGTTGTTCTTCATGACACAACCCACTACACAGAAAAGAGCAGAGTCGAGTCTGTTAATGTATTTAACAGGAGCAGCACAACTCCAGTCTGAGGGCTTAACCCTGCGTAACAAGACATAAACAGTATGTGGCCTGAAACGTTTCGCAACGAACCCTGCTCTTAATCCAGTGCATGTTCTGAATGTTGGCCGACAAGTCGTCATGCATTTCAACCACCCCACCCATCCACAGCAGCATGTCACCCATAAAGCCTTTCTTGTGTCACAAATACGTCATGTATCACAGATGTTGTTGTATGAAATTGTTTCTGACAAGAGACGTGTGTTTAGTTTGCTAATGTGTTTTTTTTTTTTTTTTT